GGATTTATAACCTCTCTCTAGGCTTTACTACCGACGCCACTCCTCTTGGGACGACCCTTTCTCTCACCACACACTCCTCTCAGTATACAAGTATATTACAAAGTGTATCCTCACAATGAAGCTCACAAATCAAATGATTGTTCTCTAAACAAGGTGAGAACTCAATTAAGCTCAACTCAATGTTACAAACTCTCACAACCCCAAATTATACTATGTATGCAAATACAATAAGCTCAAGTGGGTGTGTGTAACAAAGAGATTACTATGTATGCAAATACAATAAGCTCAAGTGGGTGTGTGTAACAAAGAGATTAAATAAAACAAACTAAACTCAATATAAATCTAGCTTAATGAAATAAGTGGGTGTGTGTAACAAAGAGATTAAATAAAACAAACTAAACTCAATATAAATCTAGCTTAATGAAATGATAATCAATTAATTATATAAATGTAAAGCTAGATTGAGTTAAGAAGTTCTTCTCTGAAAAACAAGATGGAGAGATGGAGTTGAAGCTCAAACAATGAAAATGATCTCATTCACTTGTGAAAACTTCTTCACAAACTTAAAACTCAAACAACTTTAAACTCTTGTAAACTTGTTTTAAACACTTCTTAATCACTTCAGAATGTTAGAGAGCAAAGGGTATATATAGGATCATAAGACAAAGCTAAAAAACCAAGAAAAACCAAGTAAAAAGATAAAATAATGGAAACTAGAAATATAGCCGTTGGAGGCTGTCGGTTGACTAATGAACAGTATCAGTCGACTGATGAGCTAACCGTTACAAGCAGTTCACAGTTTATCGGTCGACTGAAGACCTAATCAGTCGACTGATAAACTCATCAGTCGACTAATAGTTCATTAGTCGTAAAAAAAAAAACTTTTGATAATTCCAGATGAGTTCATTAGTCGACTGATTAACTCTATCAGTCGACTGATAACAAGTTATCAACCTGATTAAAACAGTAAATCTAATTTTCAAACCTCTTTTAAAAATAGCAAAAAATTCCAAAAAATGTAAAACTTTAAGGAATGATTGTAAACATGTAAATGAACATGTTACAAAAAGTATTTTTGGAATTTCACCTCCCAAATGAGAAATCTCTTTATTTTGCAAAAATATCCAAAACATGAAAACTTGAGATACTTGAAATTTGATGTTTTGACATAAACCAAAGTTTTGAAAACTCTTATATGGCTTTATTGACTTGGGAAATGATATAAACTAGTACTGTCAAGTCAATATACCGAAAACACAATCTTTTCTCAAAAATACATATACTATGCAATAAACATGATTTCATTGTATATATATATATATATATATATATATATATATATATATATATAAAACCAAAATGTATATGTATATGATATTGAGCTTAAAGTATCAACACTCATAATATAACCCTAAAACTAAATTACCCAAGCTTGATAGATTTTCATTAAGCTCTTCTTGGTGAACTTGCGAATGAAGCTTGAACTTGAATCTTTAACTTGAATTGCATTGCTCACCCCACTATTCCGCCAACCTCCAACTCATTGTTTATCTAGAATAAATGAGAAAACACAAATACTAGACAAACAATATTAGTTATAAATTATTTGTAAAAACATCATCAAAACAAAAAGGCCAACAAAATATTCAGTAGATTAATTATTAAGTTTTTCCTAATACAAGTGAACTATAGAAAATTAACTGTTAACGTTTACATGTTCCATGTTAAGTATACTGGAGTAAGTGTTAACTTTTTCTTTTAAATGTTAAGTTTTATTAATTAAATGTCAAGTTTTACCGACTACATGTGAACTATAGTCGATTAACTGTTAATGTTTAGTTGTTCCATATAAGTATAATTGAGTAACTGTTATCTTTATTCTTTTAAATGTTAATTTTTGTATTGTACATGTGAAATATAACTAATTAACTATTAATACTCAATTATACTTAACATTTAAATGTTAATTTTTGTGTTATTAATAGTTAATTAGTTATATTTCACATGTACAATACAAAACTTAACATTTAAAAGAATAAAGATAACAGTTACTCAATTATACTTAACATTTAAATGTTAATTTCTGTGTTATTAATAGTTAATTAGTTATATTTTACATGTACAATACAAAACTTAACATTTAAAAGAATAAAGATAACATTTACTCAATTATACTTGTACAGAACAATTAAAATTAACAGTTAATCGGCTATAGTTCACATGTAGTCGGTAAAACTTAACAGTTAATTAACAAAACTCAACATTTTAAAGGAAAAAGTTAACGCAAACTCCACTATACTTAATATAGAATAGGTAAATGTTAACAGTTAATTTAAAATAATGGATGTATAAATATTCAGTAGATTAATTATTAAGTTTTACCTAATACAAGTGAACTATAACAAATTAACTATTAACATTTACATGTTCCATGTTAAATATAGTGGAGTAAGTGTTAACTTTTTTCTTTTAATTGTTGAGTTCTGTTAATTAAATATTAAGTTTTACCTATTACATGTGAACTATAGTCGATTAACTGTTAATGTTTAGTTGTTCCATATAAGTATAATTGAGTAACTGTTATCGTTATTCTTTTGAATGTTAAGTTTTGTAGACTGTTATGTTTTACCTAATATATGTAAACTATAGTTGATTGACTATTAACATTTACCTAGTCCTCCTTAAATATAATTGAGTAATTGTTAACTTTTGAATAAGATTATATAATGTAAAATATCAAGTAAGCTTAGTCCTCAAATATAGTTGACTGACTGACTGTTAACATTTACCTATTCCTCCTTAAATATAATTGAGTAATTGTTAACTTTTGAATAAGATTATATAATGTAAAATATCAAGTAAGCTTGAAGATGTTTTCGTTGTAGTCGGTCTCACCCATTATATTTTATATGGAACAACTAAAGGTTAATAGTTAATCAGCTATATTTCACATGTACAATACAAAACTTGCTCTTTTGTAAATTTCCACATCATATATAGACTACGTAAATCAAATGAATTTTTATATTAACAAGATTTAAATTTTATTTTCACCCAGTCAAGTGGTAGACCTTTTCACATCTTCATAACTAATAGCATTCCAGTTTCAAACAAAAAAACCAAGTCGGTCAACAATATTATCATATTCAAAACCCATAATTATCTCAACTAGATTCATGCATTACTGCTTCAAATCCCACATCCCCTCCCTCCTCCTATATTATATAAACCTCTCCGCACAACACAAACCCCCAAACAACAAAACCAAACACACCTTCAAACGAAATTAATCTAAGAAATAGACTGAAGATTCAAAGGAAGAAAAAGAAAAAATAATGGCCACGCTAAAATCCTAAATCTTCGTACTATCATCATCATCATTATCTCCATCACCATTCACATCATGCCGGCGGCACGTGAGATTCCAAGCAAGCTTCCAAGCTCCAGTCAGTCCGAGCAGAAACAAGCCTACGATCTCCCTCTCCAAACAATTCACAGCTGCCATGATCAACATATAGAAGCTCTCTCTCAGAGATCAAGACAATATTATGATCAACAAATTAAACCCCCAACAAACGGCACATAGATCATCTAACAGTACCGACGAGCCTCCAATGTTCAAACTGTATGCAATCGCCAGGGCAGCAGCAAACATGGCGGAGATGAACAGCCACGAGCATGATGGTGCTCGTCAACAAATATGCACCTCAGTGAAAAGCACACATCAAACTCTCCAATTGCCCGCAAGCCTTCATTAACACAATGAAAGCTACGGAGTCGAGTTCCACGTTTAGTTAGAGCATTTTGTTGAATAGCTTGAGGGCGGAGTGGGGACTGGATTGGGAAAGAAGGAGAGTCCATAGGAGGGGGTTACGGGGGTCGCGAGATTGGGACAGGAGGGTGGGACTCTTAGTGGGGTTGTAGGAGAGGGCGAGGGAGGAGAGGAGAGTTGGGGGTTTGAGAGGAGGTTAAGCTTGAGAGCGAGTGAGTGGATTTGTTAGCGGAAGGGAGAGGAGGAGAGGGGCGAGGTTGAGGAGAGGATGAGGGAGAGTGCGCGGGGGTCGGGGAGTTCACCGGAGAGGAGGGTTTGAAGGGGGTTGGAGGGAAGGAGGGAGCTTCATTTGAAGGTTTCGTTTGGGGTCTTAATGGGGGTTTGTTGGGGCTTAGGGTTTTTTGGTTTCTGACATTTAGGGGCTTGAGGGGGCTGGGATTAGAGGGAAGAGAATTGAAGAAGAAGTGGGGAGGGGTAAAGTTGAGATTATGGGTAAAAAATATATATGATTGGGCTAATTATGAGCTGGATGACTGAGGCATAATTTTTTTCAAAAATTGGGGGCTGCAACACATTACAAATAGTATGAGGGCTAGGGCACATTGCTTTTTGGGTTTTGGGGCCTTAAAGCAATTTTTTCTTCGAAAACTTAACCTCAAATAACGTTAAAAAACGCACACAATGGAACGTAACATCTGTAAACAAATAACAATAAGGGACACGTAAGATGCGTTAACAAAGAATACTTTGGAAAATTAATAAGGCTTAATAAAGAACACTAATCCGTCCACTGAACAAGTTAAATATTAGTAACTTAGAAGGCCATATCTTGAGAGAAATAGGTTAACCTTTCATTGGTTTTCTTCTTAAATTGAGGTAACCTTTTTTTAATGATATGTTAATTTAAAGCAGAATTTGCGCTGGAGAACTGTTGCCCCTAGAAAAGCGTTTTTGCAAGTAATACTACAATGAGGCCGATCTAAAATACCCACTAAGAATCCTATTAAAACCACCCCTATAAGAATGGGATGGTTTAACCATAGATAAAATAGCTAAAATTTTCAAACCAACCCCCACCTACACGTGTATCACCCTATTTCTATCGGATGTTCTAATAAAATCTGCACTCTTAAATCTCTAAATAAAATTTGACCTGAAAGATCTCAAAACAAGTGATTTTACTGAATATAGCATTTTCCCTCTATTCCTTTTCCCTTACAGTCATCAATTAAATACACAAACAAATAACAATACATTTGATTTCTACCAACAACAAGATACACAACAATAAATTGTGACCAGAAAAAGCTTATTCCTGATTATAATAATTATTCTCACTACAAAATTGCAATAAATTTGCACATCTCAAACTCATACACTCTTTATCAATATATACACCTTCCTCAGCAATCTTCGATAAATAAGAACCTTGAGGTTTTCTGGAGCTATTACCACCTATTCTCTGTATCCTACTTGAACTTTATTGAATCACAATAAGAAAGCTATTACATAAATGCTCATGTGGAAAACCAAGACCAAAAAAAGTAAAGCCACATGTTCAGTGAAGCACTTGTTTTATTTCTTCAATTAACCTTATTTTCCTTGAAGAATCGACCTGCATCAATGTCCAAAAATCAACTTACTGGTATGACTCGAGTTCAAAATCTTTAGAGCTGGAAAGAAAAAAAAAACGAACTATACATCCTTACAGAAGTACATGAATCAGTGGGTTTAAGGTAATCTTTCATTTGCTAATATTACATCAAGAGTGCGCATAATAAATTCAATCCAAGCACAAAAAGTTGTAATCTATGAAGGCATTAGCCATAATTTGCTACCCTCGTAATCGAAAAAAAAAATTTCATGGTTCTCTGAATTGTATATATTGCTATTACATAATTGTTCACGTATAGGAGTATCATTAGAGACATCGTCATATGTTGTGAACTAGAGGCAAGAGTCTTTGTACTATAGCTATATATATTTCTCATTAAGTTTCATGTGCCTGTAAAATTACTTTATTAAGGTGCGAACGTTGTACGAGTCACGAAACAGAAGAAAAATTTTGCTCAAGAAAGAGCCTCCAATAATTTGAAATCTGACATAGTACTACCACAACTAGTGAACTGTGTGTTTTCTTATCTTAAAACAACAATAACAGAAACAACAATGATGATATCAACATAAAGAGCATGCATATCAACTTTTGTGCATCAGCAGCAATGTGCATCTTTTTTCTCCATTCTTCAATATTAAGGTTCATCCCTTCTATCGAATTAGAAAAGGGGATTCATTTACCTAACTGTCAACTTCATGACCAGCCCATGACTACGATGAACACCTAACTTTTAATGATGAACTTTTATATGTTGAAACAATCTCAAAGATTTTCACCCTGAATTTATCAGCTAAGCCAGACTGAATTCAAGTTCTGTAAAGCATTTTTCCATTTTGGTAGTACATCTGACTATCTGTGTAAAGTATCAGTGTATCATATTAACATTGTGGCCTAATAGTGCATGATAAATAGCTGAATATGCAGAGGCCCAAACCTAGAACATGAATGTGTCCAATAGATAGAGATATAGAATACGGATATAGCACCAGCAATAAAACTATAACAGGTAAAGGTAATAATAACACTCACCTTAGAGAGAAGAGCAGCAAGACCTTGAGGCAAAGCCGCCAAATCAGATGCGGAGTCCCCGAGATTAGAAAGCTGCAGTAACACTCTCTTCACCCTCAATTCGTTCAGGTACTTTTCATAGTTCATCGGAGTAGACTTCCACGAGTAGAAAACATCGTCATCTCCCCATTTCTCAACTTCATACGCATCGCAAAACCACTTCTTGATCATTTCAATAGCTGTTCTATGAGATAAACTCCCCCCTGCAGCATCTCTCAGGGTCTTCACAAGAGCCCCCTCCGTAATCCTTCTCTGCAATCGTTTATAGAAGAAATATCGTGAATTCTCCCAATCCACAACCTCATTGACCACTCCCTTTGCCTTCATCCTCAGCGAAGTATCATGAAGCTCTGCAAACCTTGTTGCAATCTGAGTGTAAACTGGCAGCAACTGCTTCTCTCGAGATCTTATCCTCTTCTGAATAGAATCCATGTCTCCTCCCTCTCCTGCTTTAGCCTTTTGAAGACTTTCCTTGAGATTTCTCAACTCTGGATCAAGCCTTGCCATGCAATCAACAAGCTCCCTTGCTCTGAACTTGATCTCAACCATACCCTCAGGCTCAAGCACATTCCCCTTTGCTGTCCTTTCTGCATACATCTCGATTTGATCAGGGTTAATCTTGCTGTCAACCACAACCCATGCCCCTCCTCGAAGCTCTCCGGTTTTTGGAATGTAGACAAACACAGGCTGATTGTAAGTTCTCAAGTTCTCAACAATGGTAGAACCAGCCTGAAGTATTCCCTCAAATAGATCTCTTTGCCCACCAGAAAACCCTCTCCAATTGGCAAGAATAAATAAAGGAAGCTCCTCTCGGTTAAAATCTAGCAAAGCTTGAGATGTCTTTGTAGCTGAGTCAGGGAACCAAACTTGACCAGCTTGGGGAACGACTCTCTCATGGGAATCGAGCTGGCCTGGATCTGCCGGAATTATCTGAGTCATCGTCTGGGTCTCAACAGCAACAATACCAACGGGGATTCCACCTAGCTTTGCCCTCCCGGTGACCACTGTCTTAGCCCATCCTTCCAATGTCTCAACAAAGCTATCTTTATCGAAGATTCCACCTAACCACTTTCCCTTTCCATCTTCAATGCCACTAATTGCAGCTCGAGGATCACAAGAATTCTCTGGAGAGTACTCAACCAACCGGTTTGGCTCGTCTACTGATCTCACAATGGGGAGAGGTCCTCCAACATAAGGAGGCACAAAGCTGAGCCACTTGAGAATTGAGACGACACCCTCAAGATCATCAGATACTGTTAGATGAACAACTCCATTGGTGGCCATGATCTTGGGACCCCCGAGTTGCATGTGGGAGCTGTAAACTTCTCGACCAAGGAGTTTGTTGAGGGCAGAAAATCCTGTTAAAATTATAGGCTGATCGAGACGTTGGATACACCGCATCCCGAGCCGAGCTAGGTAGGCCCCGATGCCAACGGTCCTTCCAGTTACATAAGTTAATGTAAAAGTCTCTTTATAGGCTCTAGAATATGCCCCAGCAATGGCTCCACTACCAGTCAAATTTTCAACTCCTAAACCATCCTCCTTCCCAACAATTGAATCAACCACCCATCTCATCTCCCCATTGTCTAATTTGAGCTCATGGACGACGACAGAAGAACTGATACGAGAATAATCCTCTTGGGTTAAATAAATATAATGGAAACCCCGCTCCGGTGCTGACTCATCAGACCACCCGACCCGAAAGCAAGATTTAACTTCCTCAGCAACTCCTATCCTGGCACCGGAGTTTGCAGCAAGATAGATTAGAGGGAACTTCTTCTGGCAAGCCAAATCAGTAGCAGCATAGAAGAAGGCATCCTCTCGTGGGCCAAAGGAGCCAGCTTTGAAGGTAACATCATTTGCTACAACAATGATTGGTCGGCCTTCTGGGAACTCGGGTGTAGACATCTCAATGTGCCAAGCAACCATACCGACATCATTGAGGCCCGGGGCTCGATCTACAGGGACCAGAGGGGTACCCCAACTCCCATTTTTATCAGCAAACGCCAGTTCCATAACTTTAAGAAGATCTCTAGCACCCCTTTTCCCTTGAGATTCCCATGAATGCTGGAGTGCTGTCTTAAATGCCTGAACATTCAAATTTGGGTTTAAGGTAATCAGAAATAGACAATGAGGGTCAGGAAATTAGAAGGGATTAAGTATGTATACCCCTTAAATCATGCATATTTGCAAAACTACCCCCAGTCACTGAATTTGCAAAACAACCCCCCACATCATCAACTTTGAAAAAAGAAAAAAAAACCAAATCAACAAATCATTAAATTTGAGAGGCTAATTTGTAATTGCAATGGATTATCAACAAACAAAATAGTCAAATGTTTACTCACCATATCCAAAAAGTTGATGATTTGCTGATTTGAGGTCTTTTTTTCAAAGTTGATGATTTGGGGGTAGTTTTGCAAATACGCATGATTTAAGGTGTGTGTGTGCATGCGTGTGTAAACCGTTAGAAGAAATGTTAGAAGAGAGAAGTTTAAAATGTTAGAAGAGAGAAGTTTACCAGAGGGAAGTCGTAGCAATAAGTGGTGTTGCTCTTCCTAGCCAAAAGACGTTTTCGGTCGATGGAAGAGAGAGGCTGATATATACCAGCAACTGGAACTCCATGCAATGGAGCAGTTTTAGAACAGGTGCTATTGTAAACCACTTGATGGGATTTTCCATCCTCCATTTCTCGGTAGATCTAGAATGGAACCAAATAGTAAGTTTCTGAGTTGAATACAATAAGGAAAATAAGGACGCCGCAACTTAAGTATTTCTCATGAAAGATAAAGAACAGGTGTTTACTTCGACATGTTGTGGAACAATAACTAGTTACATCAGTATGCATGAAAAAAACATAAGAAACCAACTTTTAAAGAGCATGGATAAGATGGGAAGATGCACAGACTAGATAAAAGATATTAATATCTTTATAGAATGTTAAATAATACTGAAATGTGAATGAGAAAGACAATAATTTAAAAATAAGACATGAAATCCTAAATAGGAGAAAGAGCAAACAAATAAAGAACCAAGAAATGAATACTGATACCACTACTAAAGAATCTATATTAAGCCAAACAAATGTTTAAAAGAGAATTATTTTTATGAATACGAAATAACTACTTCAGTGGTTTGCAATTATGACCTTTTTCCACATTAACTGGTTTTTCTTTGAAATTTCATGTAGCACAAATAATTTAAATAATTCAATGTGTTTCAAAACGTCGAATAATTAGAGATTGTCAAAGGTCCCCCGCCACTATGCCAAAACCCTAAAGTTGAAGTGAGGGTTGAGGGTTATAATTTCTTATTTTAACAATGCCCTTGCAGTTTCAGTGCCCTTTTTATAGGACGAAACCAGGACTCATGTGGTTGTACTAATTTTATTTTAAAACAAAATTGTCTAAATTCATGGCCTGTAGGATTTGAACCTAGGTCGGTCTGATACTACACCATAACTCTGAAGTTCTAGTGAGGTTGAGGGTCATAATTTTATATTCTAACAGAGATTATTATCGCAAAATTATTCAAAAGTAATTGCTTACATGCGCAGTGCAAGTATGGCCAGTAACATTTGTAACGACAATCCTCCAAGCACCACTAGCAATACCAACTAAGTCAAGCCAAAGCTTAACTTCCCACTCACAAACAGCAAGACGGTGCATTCGCACGCCAACCACCTTATGGACTCTAAATGCTAGTTCTTCCAAGATAGAGCACACAATAGCCTCCTCCTGCCCAGCAATTAAGTCCACAGTCCTGGATACAGTCAATAAACATTGACTAATATAAGACATTAATTAACCCCTGAAGTATTAAAAGACAAGGTAGAGATTCTGTCTGGAAAAATTCTCTATGAAGAAGATTTCAATCAAACAAGAAACCAAGGAAACTTGAAAACAGTAAAATTTCAGATTGTCTGAACCTGAAAAGTTTGAAAAGATAGTATAATAAAGGAAAATGTAAACAAGAAATGTAGGAAGCTTACCTCGATGACGGTAAAAGATCAAAAAGTTGTTGCTCCCTCAAGATGCAAAGATACATATGCGAATGATCTGATCTGATGGCTTCACTGTGTACATGGAGCTCTAACTCTTCAAGAGCTGCAAACAATGATCTTAGAATACTAACTGATGTAAAGGACATTGAAGGCTGAACATGAGAGATTTCCATGTCAAGGCCCTGGCCCACAGAAAAAAACCCATCAGTGGTGTTGGGTTGTCTAACAAGAGTCCGAAGGAACATCCTTTGGATAAGCGCCTTGCTGTCTACAACAGTATAGAGATGCCATTGTCGGTCACGCGATGGTGTGTACTTTATGTTTTCATAACCTTTCAGCTTGTGCTAAAGCATTACAAGGAAAGATATACATATTAGTGTCAGAGTGGGGTGGGATAACTATGTTTGGCATTAATTATTTACCAGTTCAAGAAAAGTGGAGAGAGGAGGTTCCAAGTGACGAAGAAGAGGTTCTTCCTCATAATAGTTCTTTTCCGCTGACCAGTGAAAGGAATGACGCATTGGTGCTCGCCCTTCGTCCCTCTGTATAATACAGCTGATACCCCTAACGCCTGAATTTCGGAGGCCAGATATTACAGACTCCTCCTTCAAAATTTTAGCTAATCTGTGTATCCTCTCCTGAGCTTGGTCCTCATCACCACTGCAGAAAATTTTAGATTAACTTGAAAGAATGTCTATTACATATTACAAGCAGAGACTATGGCTCAGGATGAGTAGTGCTAACAACACTTTTGATAATACTGTGCTACTATTATTAAGAAAATAAAGTGCACCCTCCTTATCTCATCATGGTTTTCGATACGAAGTGAAGGGACTATATATAAGAGTAATAGTACCAAAAAAATAGCAAAGCACACATTTTCCTTTTTAGATACTGTTGTTGTCCAAAAAAGAAGAAAGAGCGCAATGTTTTTCAAGTCCAGACATAGCCAAATATTAATCCATCTCCCTATATTGTCAAATGAGATAAGGGTGTATTCATCTTCATAATCAACTGTTCATAGAGAATTAGATGGTGCTGCTTCTCTGCAAGATACAACAGATTAAAATGGACAAAAAAAATACCCTGCAAAATCAAATATGCAAATATATGCACATGAAATAACTAATCATATCATACATTCAACTTATAATATGATGATAAGTTTTTCCTCTCTAATATTTACTATTTGCCACATTTTTGTTTCTTACTTGTAAATTTAGAAACAGTGAGCGTGTATGTAGGCATATGTGAATGAAATGATTTTTCCAGAATTTTGGCCTTCAGGATCTTATATTTACCAATGAAATGAAGATCTTTGCATTTGCGAAAACCTAAACGAAATCGTGAATAAAGGGAAGATATATATCTCTCGCACCGAAAAATTGTCAGTGAATGATCCAGGTAAGCCAACTACTAAATTAGAAGATTAACTCGCAGAATACAAAATGCCTTAAATTTCTTTTCATGACAGTTGAATGAGAAAAAAGTGCAAAAAAGGTTTGGTACCTATCTTGAAGAGAACTCATTTGATTATTAATGCCAGCCAAAGCAACATGAAGCATGTTTCCTTGACTAGCTTGCTCTGGGAGCAAATTAATCGTAATTTCTTTATCAGAATCTGTGCTTAAACTATGAGTCGCTTCTTTTAGTGCTGTGTTAATTGCTGACGGCAGAAACTGAAGAGATTTGATGATGACCATGGCACCCCATCTCTTGTCAGAGTGCTGTATTGAATCCTCCGAGAAATCCCACAAGGCAATTAAGCCAGATCTATGCCACTGCATCCGAACACTTCCCTTTACAAGATAGGGCTGCAAATAGAGATTCAAAGTTAGATACAAATGAAAATAAAGGATTTCATGCAAAAGCAAACTACAAAAGAGATTTGTATTCCTAAGGCAAAGATGTATCAAAATCTTATATCAAAAAGATTTTATTTGTAGATTCAGAAATTGGTTTGGTAGCTAGGCTTAGAGATAGAGGCTCATGATGGGTAACTAGAAATGTTTAATTTAGAGCAGCTTTAATTAGAACAGTGATCTAACGATAAAAGAAAGAGTTTACTACGAGAATAAAATTTATCCACTTTTATGGTGGTTACCTGGTACAATCTGCGAATATAAGTTTCAATCACTCTCCTTAGAAGGGTATAGTCACTGTGGTCAAAGAGGGCAACAAGGGCATCCTCAACAGCCAGTGGAGCACTAACTAGATCCTCCATTCTCTCATTGATGGCCATTTTCCTCCTAGGCGTCGAAACACGTTCACCTTCTTCAGTAAACATCTCTAGTTCTGAAAGGCTTCTGGCAATGCTTGCGCGGAGCTCACTCAGTTTTGTTTGCTCAAGGAGTTGACTGGCTTTCAGTGCCAACTGTAGTTATCAGATTAACAACTCAAGTCTAAGATTAGATCACAAGATATAATTACTAGGTGGAAGAATAGAACAGTAATCAGATAGAAGACCTCAGAATAGGTTGTGTGGTTAAGAGCAGAAAAGCGAATGAGTTGATCCCTGTAGGCAGCTGGATTGGGATAAACCAATGCTTCCATGAGACGCAAGACCAATTTATTTTTACTTTTGACACCCTGCAGGCACAAAATATAAGCATAATGCTCCTTTAACACAAACAACAGCAATTACAGGGAGACCAATTGTTTTTAGTGAATCATCCACCAACATGAGCATTTTTTTTTTTGCACATTTAAATCCAGATTCTTAATACATACAGTGACATAAATTTATAATCAAAGGCCCCTTCATGCAGTTTTGATAAGAGAGACGACTATGCACCTACCTCAGAAGAAACTTTGAGATTATTTATTGCTTCTTGAAATCAAATGTACTTACCAAGTATAGATTTATAATTTTTCTGACTAAACTATTATATTCCATACATTCAATTCCAGCGATAAATGCAGCACCACAAGAATTTCAGAGTACCTGATGAGATAACACAATGTCCACAATTTTAAGAAGATCTTTCTTGTGTTGAAGCCGGAGTCGTTCAATCACATCAGCCTAGAGAAGAAAACATTATAAGTTTCTCAAGTAAAGGGTTAAAAATTTATATTGCTTATAATATTCATGAAACTGCATAAACTCTAACTTCACATAGCTAATGTTAAGTAAAATTTGTATTTTAACACAATATATAACATTTGAATATAATCAGTTATAATAAAATTGTGCTCTACTGAAAATAAATACCTGTATATTATCATTAAACAGCTCTTCAACAGACAGGTATTCTTCAAAAAGAGTCTGGACAATACATCGAGCATGACTTTCTCTTCCACCCTCGTACGACTTCACAAGGCTCATTAGAGGCTCCACAAGCCTCTCATTTGTGACTTTTTCTTTTTCAGTGCAGGAGAAGAGATACACCTTCAATCAACAGATGAATCAGAGGAAAGTTCCTTGTAGAAAAGAATAATGATCCTTGGTGACATCCAATCAGAAAATCACTGACCTCAATAATTCCCCTTAATAATTTAGCAGGGAAATCGACATTCTTCTGCTGGTTTGAGATCATTTCATACTCCTTGTAGTTTGTATCTAACTGTAGACCACAAACAAGTCTAAAAGGTTGAGAAACGAAACAGAGCATGAAGAAAATGTAATTCATTTGATAGTAATCCCTCATGTTGGCAGAATCCATGAAATTCCAATTCTTCAGGTAAAAAGGGGCAGTAATATTACTAATTATTGACAAACCTCATTTCTGAGATCTTTTGGGAGGCGTGTCGCCAACACGGACATGCTCTCTTGCCACTGCAGAAAGGGAAGCTCTGGGCTGTCCAAACAGTTCAGTAGATCTTGCACAACCTGATTGAGGTTCAACGACATAGCTCAGAAAACTAAAACAAACTCCTACAATCTCAGTATTTTGAGAGCTAATACTAAGAAGATATTATAATTATAGGTTATATACGAAATGGAATTTTGATGTACATGAAACTTGAGCAAGAAAATCTGATCTGCTTTGTAGTGTTTCGTAGTTTGGTATAAAGCGTTTAAGGTATTTGTTCCTTCATGATATGGTGGAAAAAGCAATTAAGCAACTGATGCCAATGAAAATTTTCAAAACAGAGATTTCACGGCTTCCTTGCAAAAGATTCTAAAGCATACAAGATTTTTTTCCTATGAAAATTTTCCTAAAAGCCACATAAAAAGGAACCAAATTGCTGCGAGCTGTAAAAGTTCTTTTAGTGGAAGCATCAGAAATCATGTTAAGGGATAATCTCCAATACTAATGTGCAAAGGCTTCTAGAGTTACTGGAATCTGATATCAGCAAAAACTGAAAGCTATCATATTTTCATCAGCAACAACAAGAAATGTAGAAAATAAATGAAAAGTAAACGATGCTTCAAATTCTGGTCCTCACATCATTAATATTGTGTTCATAACCAGCAAGAATCATCTTTGCAGCATTTAAACTCGCAGCACATCGCTGATGAACTTTGCCTGAAACTGCTGTAGGAGGCCCTAATTTTGGAAAAGTGCCATCAAACGGTTCTGCGCTCCTCACGGCTGAAAGGTCATCAAGATCTAACCTTGCTATGAGATCTCCAGCCTGCAGTCAGTTACATTTCGCACCCATTATTAAAAATAAGCCTAATGAACAATGCTGAAACTAAACAAAGCATATTCTGAAAGCTTTTGAATCACCTGCATAGCTTGGCCCTCAGACATAGTGAAATGGATCACTCCAGAAGCAGGCAAGAGAAGTGGCATGCACATCTTCATAACCTCAACCTCAGCATAAGGTGTATCAGTTTCAACATGAGAACCATCTTGGACTAAGAATCGAAGAAGCTTGCAGGGAGTCTCTGCCACCAACTTTGATGGATCATGATCATTCTGGAGAAGAGAATTTCCATTCTCAGCATTACTAAAGATTAAAGAGTACAATGCAGAATGAGAAAGTTTTTGAAACATAAATGGTTGAATAAATTTATTCTTATAAACTTTCTAGCAACTAAACTCGTAATACAAGGAAATAGATGCCAGTACCTGTAATAAGCATGTCCGGCCATCAATTAGGAGGCGAGTCCCGGCAGCCTCTTCTTCAGCATATATTACATGGCTGTTTCCATCCAACTGCACAAAATTCCATAACGACGATGTAAAATACATGAAATACTAGTTGATGAACATATAGTGCCAAATATTTTGTTAGAAACTCAATGATATCTTACTACAGCGAGTAATTGTTCTTGACTCTGTTGATCAACATTAAACTAAATGTTAAACTGATGAAACCTTTGGTTCTCTGGTTTTAAGAGAATTTGAGAAAAGGAAAACAAATTTATCAGTCATCTGCGAAGAGTTTGACATTGTTCATCAATGTATTCCAAAGTGTCATAGAAACTGACAAATCATAGACGAATATTGTGATGACTTAAATTCCTCCAAACTCTCTCGAACATTGAGCTACTTATCCGATACTGGGGTTCCTTTTTCTGCTCCTAGACTTTATCAGGGATGATGATAACTAAGGATATACTTTCATTTATATTGATTCTATTAGCATAAAAGATTCGATATTTTTCAGTGAACCATTTATAATGCCACAGAAACATAATTAACCTTAAGCAAAATGTAAGGAGGAAAAACAGAAGTGAAAGACCAAGTCCTTCAAGACACTATGACCAAAATTTACTTTGAACAATGAAGTAAGAAGTTATTAGCATTACCATGTCCTTTGAGACACTGTGACCAAAATTTACTTTGAACTATTAAGTATGAATTTATTAGCGTTACCAAGAACAAATATGTCAACGGAATTGGATGAGCAGAAAAGGAAGAAAAGCTTGCCTGCATCAGAAGACCACCATCACGCAAAGTATGAATTTCAGCTTCAATCTCCAATCCGTTCATCCTTAACCTATAGCTACCAGGTCCTCCCCTCACCATTTCAATCTGGATGTGATCATAAATATACTCTAGCACTAAGTATCATATGTATAACAATTATCATATGAAAAGTATTTAGAGACTTACTGTGTATTTGCTCCCTTCAATATTCAAAGTAACAACAGAATTTACTAGAGAAATATGCTGCAAGGTAACAACGCCAATCATTAGATACTATGTATAAGAGAACAGTTGTCAGCATTTTTGGTGTATGATCTAAGAAGTTACCTTGGGTGGGATTTGTCCCTTACCAAGATAGCCAACATAATCAGAAACTACAGCTGCACTGCTCGTTGATGCTTTCTGAGTGTATTACCGCAAGCAAAGGAAAATTAGAATAAAACACAGCTGAAAGAAAAGCCATTGTCATCTTTATAGATAGTTTAAAAAGTAGCTTGGCTTACATAAAGAGCTCCTCCAACAACTGAAAGGTACCAAGGAGGACGCTCAGCTCTAACACGCATAGCAATTCGACTATCCAGCCAACCTGTGTGGATCTTATTGTCTCTATATTCTATGGCCTGAAAACTTAGCATATGTTAACATTGACGGAAATATGAACGGTAGAATTAGCATAAGATTGGTAAATAGCTTACATTTAATAGATCTACGGTATAATCGACATTTGTACGGATTTCCCCTCGAATTTGTATTTCTTTCAGACCAAGAACCATGTTAGCTATTGCTAATGCTCTAGACTCTCCAAATGCAAATACATGGCCTATGATAGAAAAAGAGGGGTCAGAAACAGAAAATTCGAATAAAAGTAATAAAAACTGAAAAGCAACATTATCAAGTGTACATACCAAATTGGGAGTCAGAGAACTCATGAATGCCGCCTCCAGACTGCATTAATGTTAACAAAAGGGGGAAAGGAATTTTTCTATTAGTTGACGGTAACCACAAGACATATGTATTAAAGTGCAATTGAAGGAGACATGTCCTATAGTATACACAGAAAGTTCAACTACTACAGAACATAGTTCCCTATGCTATAAGGAGAAATCTGTGTGCTCCATGTACGTGCTTTCTTGTGTGTGCGTGTGTGCGCATGCATGTTTGTCATTACGCTTATGTGTATGTACATGTAAGAGAAAAAAAGAAGAAAAATGCTATTATTGATGAGAGAACATCATAGAACATCCCCTTTGTGGATCTCTAATGTCATTGAAAACACAAGAAGAAATCGCGATTACACGGATACAACAAGATTTAAACTGGTATGGTGATGCCTAACCTATAGGGGACTCACCCAAATAAGATCCATAATTTTACTGGGGAAAAAAGTAATACTCATCCTAAATGATGACTCTCAACCCAATAATTCAAGGTTGATCTAATAAGCAAGACCAAATTTTGAGCTCTATATCTGACACTCCCTTTGCAATTAACAGGAATATAAAAGGCATGAAGTAAAGCACGAAGGTAAAGAAAATCTTAGATGATAATTTCAATATCAATTATGCCTTAAAGCACGGAAAGCATCAGCATGATGCTGGAAAGCAACTCAACATGTTGATTCCAGCCTCTGAGGTTTAAAATTTGGTTCTAATCTGGATGAACATGTGGTCTCAACAGCTAACTTGATAGCAGA